TAGCATTTTGATGGTAAGAACATACACAAACTGAGTGGCTTCCACTACTATCAACAGTAAGGCACCACTTTGGCCTTAGTTCACAGAACTTGCTAAATCCAATTTTGTGTTCAGGGTATAACTTCTTAAACTCCAGATGAGGTTCTTTTAAACAAACTAATATTAAGCGTTTTTGTTTATGAACTTTAACATTATCTATACGCACAGAAACAAAGTCTTTTTTTCCTGGACATTGTCTAGTGTATTCGTCAGATTCATATATTTCAATGACTCTCTGCCTAACAATATATTCCAAAGGATGTCCTTTTTAGCCTCAGGTTTAGCAAGTATTCCCTTTACATTTTTTAGCTTTCTGGCTTTCTTAACAAGATGGTCTGAAACTGAAAATGCATTGCAAGTTTTTTTAATTGACCAACTATCAGGAGTTAATGTTAGTAATTGAACTTTTTCTTTATTTGAACTGATTTTTACTTTTTACTTTATTGCATCTAAAAGTTTGTCTAAATTTAAGTATTGCGATATCAGTATCGTAGTATCGAAACATGCTAAAATATCGACATTTTGACCAGGTTCGATATTGAATTGTCGATATTGTAATTTTTTTAATAATATCCAAGTTTCGATATTATTCGATATCCTTTCACAGCAATATCGAAAGATTCTCGATATTCAAACTAAAATATCGATACTAATATTCAAACTTTAATAAAAATCAACTGTTATACTCTAAACTGTCCCTCCTAAAATTTCCCAGCTAAACTTTCCCGCCAAACTGAAAAGTAATTAAAAATGCTAAAAATTAAGTGTAAATTAAAAATTGGGTAAAGCTACAGTTAAGCGGCCTAAAATAATTATATTTTTTCGCTTTTTAAAAACAAGATGGAGCGTATTTTTAAAGCGAAACTTAATTATGTTATGTAATAATAAATGTTACGGGTTGTGAATTTGAAATTAAAAGATTTAATTAAAAGTTGAAGTTTTATATTAAAGTTGAAGGTAAATAAATAATAATTATAATCAAAGTAAATATAAATTATAATCAAAGTAAATTATAAGTAAATTATAATCAAAGTTTAATTATTAAATATAATAATTATAATTAAATTATAATCAAATTAAATTATAATCAAGGTAAATTATAATCAAAGTTTTGATATTATAATAATAAATATATTTTTATAAATAAAATATAATATAATAGTAATAAAAAAAAAAAAAAATAATAGCAAATAATATATAAAAAATAATAAGAAAACAATATATAAAATAAAGCATAAAACATTAAATTCCGCAAACAACTTATTTCTAAACAATAAATTTACTTTGCTCTTATTAGAATAAAATAAATCTTTGCTTTTGAATTTTGTTAATATTTTAAAGTCTCTACGAACGAGAGCGCAAAAAGCGAAACAGTAAATTTATTTTAGGCTGCTTAACTGTAGCTTTACCAAAAATTGATGTCTTAATTTTTGTTCAATACTCAAATACTTTTGATATAACCTTATAAATATTTTTTTTCAAAATTAGTTACTAATAGAAGTTATAAGTGAGAAAAGTTGTGATATTTTTTGTTGAAAATGCCAAGAGTAAGTCCCTTTTGGGCGTATTTTTTAAGAGACACACCAAAAAAAGATATTGCTCAGTGTAAGCTATGCCCAACACAAATAGGCACCAAACAGAGCACTACGACTGGTTTGAAGGTTCACATCAGAGGTTGTCATAATGAAATTTTTCTCAACATTGGGAAAGAAAATTTAAAACGAGCACCAGAAACAACAGCTGAGCAGCTTGCACAAGAATCAATTTTGGACACTCATGGGCCAATAGCTCTAAGTGCAAAAAGAGTAAAGATGGACATTTCATCGTATTGCAAGGTTGTGACAAAATATGGAACAAACGACAAGCGACAGTTAATAGCTGACTTGGATATTGTGAAATATTTGTGCATGGGAAATTTAGCTTTTCAATATGTTTCATCACCTGCTTTTAAAGACTTTTTATTAAGCCTTCGTCCAGAAATTATTATTAGAGCACCATCAACATATTCAAGAAACAAACTTCCAATCCTTTATTCTAATGTTTTTGAGGCAGTTCTTAATGTTTTAACACATCACTTAAAAGATGTAGATGCAGTTGGATTTACTTCAGATCTTTGGTCCAGCAAAAGCAATGAGTCATTTGCTTCATTATATTACAACTGGATTTGACGCTTCATTATATTACAACTGGATTTGAACTAAAGACATTTTTGCTGGGCTGTAATGCTTTTACAGACAGCCACACAGGTGACAATATTTCAATTAAAACAGAAACATTAATTTCTGTTTTACCTTTCAATAATGGTTGTAAAATGACTTCTGTCACAGATAGTGCAGCAAACATAATATCTGGGATGAAAAAATCGGCCAAAATTGATGAAAGTATTT